GAAAAGGGTAGCACCATTTTGCTTGCCCCCAGATATACTGATTGGTGTGGTGCTGTACTGTCAGCTCCTATGGCTGGGTAGCATAGTGCAGAGCTTCCTGGACAGTGCACAGTGCAAAGACTCCAGGTGAGGTGTGTATCCTACAGCCCCCTCATAGTGCCTGGGGTGGGTACCCTACTAGCCCCACCCTAGTTATGCTACTGATTAGTATGACCTTGAGCAGAAAAATAAGAACCTACAACTGGGGAACTATGGGTTTCTAGTACTGTCAGGAACAGCATCACAGTTCAGTCAACTACCCCCCTTTCCTTCCTCCCCACCTGGGAATTAGCTGTAGCCAATGCCTCAGAGGAAGGTCAACTCCCTCCCTTTCAGAAGCCAGTAGCATCCTTCCTTGTCCCAACTGGTGACTAACAAAGCCCTGAGGCATGGGATTTCCAGATGTCTTCTGTTCTAGAGAGATACTTTTGTACCCTAACCTGGAGGCTGCAGTTATATGATTTCAAGTCAGGCACACTGATTAGTGTGCCAAAAGTCTCTGTTCTACCATACCATCCCTTCCACATTTTTTCCTGTTCAATCTTAAAGTAATTCAGGTCCTTTGCCCCCCACTGCTCTTCTGGGATGATCATTCCAAGACTTTGCTCTTTTGATAGTTAGGGCTTGTCTTCTAATTTCCTATATACATTTATTCATAGTCAGTATGTTGGCATTCATTTTTGTTGTTTTTGAGCCTGAAAAGCTTTCTTCTTTTCTAATATTACCCCACAAATGAACTTGTAAAGAATGATCATATTGCTTCTTAGTCTCTGTTTTGCTAAACTAAATGAGCCAAGTTCCTTAATTTTCTTTCATAAAACAGTTTTCTATTCCTTTAATCACATTAATGGTCCTTCTTTAAACTCATTCCATTTTTAGTTAATTTTTTTAACACTGGTGACCAAGACAACACACAGCATTCTATGTAAGAGTTTTACCAATGCCTTGTGCTAGTACCTCAGTGCTTCTACTACGTATACCCTGCCTTATACATTCTAACATTCTACTGGACTTTTTCACAGACTTTTTCACTTTTATTCTGATTGTTCATGGTCATCTTATGATCAACCAACACACCCAGGTCTATCTTTTCCTCAGAAGTCTCCAATCTCCAGTCTGTACATCCCTTGTTATAACATGAGTCCATATGGACTCATAATCATCAAGTGCATGATTTTGCACTTCATATTGTAAAATTCTGAGTCTCCATTCCACAAGATGACCTAAACTGAGGTTGTCAAAGATACAGTCTATGGGCTGGATCTGGATTGCAGATGGCTGGGTACCATAGTGCATGACATCCAGGTCGTGGGACTCTGTGAGGGGGGGTGAGAATTGGGGGGGCGGGGGGCAGTGGGGGCATGGATTGTTGGTGGGATGGCAAGCGATGGGTATGTTCGTTTCTGCAGCTCAGAAACTTGTGGCAATTAATGCTGCTGCTGCTCACCCTGCTGCTGGAATTGGAATTCCCTGTGGCCTGGATCTGGTCCAGAGGTCCAACAGAGTTTGATACTTCTGATCTAAATCTTTGTGTAGACCACTAGATATAGTTGTATTACACTGTTAGTTCAGTCATTAATACATTTAGTAATTATAACATTCAGTGTTGATTGGAATAGCCATTTTGCATCATATGCCAGATACCCAGGGGACAGAGTGGGCTAAATCCTATTTCATTTTACATGAATAAATGCAGCTAAATAACTACAGGTTTTGGCAGTAGTGCACAGTTTGTGACTCAGCTCTGAGTGTAGAAGCAGGCAAGGGGGTTCTGTTTATTTCTCCCAACTTCCTGAGCCTTTGTAACACAGTTGGGTCATGTTTTCAGGTTTTTCTTCACCCAGAATTGTTACAAACAAAAACTTTGAAAAAAATGAAGTTAAAACACTACAACAATTTCTTAACTCCTGCAGCTGAAGCTGAAAAAAACACTTCAAATTTCACAAGGCTCAAGATAAAATTGCAAGTTGGCAACATTGCTCTTACGGCAGGCATATAGTCCATGTCACAACCCTGTTCTTCCCAGACAGATTGTTTAGCTGCCCTTTGTTACCCAACCTGCATCCTCATTTTGTAGGTGCTCCATTCAGAGTTTTTCTTGGTATTTACTTGATGGTATATTTCAATAGTTTAATGATGTTTTTTGCACAGGGGACTGCATTTTGTTCCCACCCAAGTCAATGGCAAAACTCTCATCAAATTCCATGTGAACAGGATCAGCCCCTTAATGTTTAATACTTTCACTATTTCTCATTGGCTAAAGGACAAATGACAGAAAGCAGACGTGCTTGTTAGTTTAAAGTAATTTCTCTCTCCCTTTAAGCAGAGAAATGAAAGGAAGTCAGTTTCTGGCAGCTCTGGGGTTTAGCAGATTTACATACAGTTAAATTTGATCCTACATGTAAAAGTCTCTGAAGTTTTAAAGATTAGACATTATATTTTTTACAGAACGAAGTGGGGAATTTGCTTTATCCTAGACACCACGTAAGAAACTTCCTTTGGGAAACAAGGAAATGAGCATTGCCACACACTTTGGATCCTGCTCCAATATGAGATTCTGTTCCAGAATATCTCCTGGATCAGTTCGTCCTGTTTTGGTTCTGTTTTTAGTCAAACAGGTAAGATAATTTAATTACTAATGACTGGTACTAAGATACAAATTTTCCTTTTACTTAGCATTTGGATATTCTTAACCTGCATGCTAGTTCATAAGGCACATTTATTTAAATTCATTACACATTTCAAAAGAATATTGTTGAATGATGAGCCTTATGGTGTTGTCTCAATCTCCTACCCAGATAATATATTCATATTCTCCTATTCTGATTATGATTTTTATGTTGAATGAATTGTTTATATTTCCCTTATAGTAACTCTCTTAACATTTATAAACCAGATGTCAAGCTTATTTTCTGCTCCCATTTTCCCCACTGCATCATATGAAGGACTGTTTTATGTATAATAGTAAAGTGCATCGATTTGAATGTCATTCAGACTTCTTCTAGAAAGTCATAAATGACAGACATTTCAGTTTGCACTTCTGTTAACCACCAAATATTAATATAAAAATTTTAAAGCTTCAACTTGTTTACAAAACTCTGGTAACATTATACACAGTGTTTATGTTATTTTCTTCGGCTTCTCTGCTGAATTAATTCCCTTTCTGTCCTTCTAAATAAAGTAAAAGATTTGAAATTCTTAATATAGATTCATATATGGAATATTGAAGAGTCTAAAAGATTTCTTGCCCAATGGTTTCCATAGAATTATTTTTAAAGTTCTTTTCTTTTGGAAATAAGATCAATGTGTTCATTAGTAAGTCAGATACATTTTTAACAATTTAATAACATTTTATAGTATATGTAATTCCATTCTGAATAAAAATAACATACAAATGCAGCATTCATTTGTGGGAAAAGAAAGACAAATTAACTCCTGTATTAATATAACAGATTTATCACTGACCAAAACCTACAATGTGTTTCTACTTATGTGTCTTTATCTGACTCTGCTTTTAAGGAAACATATATTGTTGCATGTCTTGGTTTTGGAAGGGTTTTTCATAGAAGCATAGAAAATTAGAGTTGGAAGGGACTTCAGGAGGTCGTCTAGTCCAGCCCGATGCTCAGAGCAGGACCATCCCCAACTAGATTATCCCAGCCAAGGCTTTGTCTAGCCAGGTCTTAAAAACCTCCGAGGAGGAAGATATGGAGATTCCACAGCCTCTCTGAGTGCTTTACTACCCTCCTAGTGAGAAAGTTTTTCTTAATATCTAACCTAAACTTATCTTGCTACAATTTTTTATTTATTTAAAGTCAATAAATACACCAAGACTTAAAATTTTGGAAAGAAAAAGATATTGCATTCATACAATTCTAACCACAGAAATGAGTTCATATTCATTTAGAATTCAAGCACCACTATGTTTAAGGCTTAATGCTCTTTTGCACCGCTTTAATGGTGCAGCTGTTTGCACATGTTGGCAGTGTAATGAACTTTAATGGTGTGGCTGTTCGCATATGTTGGTGGCATAATGCGCATTAAATGACTTCAGGGCGCAGCAAACTAAAACATCTCCGAGATAGTTTAGTTTGCTGTGGAGGGAAGCACTGGGGTCCATGCAGCTCAGGGGCTGTGCAGGCAGCCTGTGCATGCAGGCGACACTGAAGGAAAAAAAAAAGTGGTAAGCCTGATCTTTATTTTTCTCCCTGGAGCCTGTCTGCCTGCCTGAGCCGTGTGAGGGCCCGGTGGTTCTCTCCACAGCTGTGGTGCCCCCTGGGAATGCCCAAGCCGGGTGCCTGAGGGTGGATGCTGCTTGGAGGGCACTGCCTGGAGGGCGCTGCCACTGATGCGGAGGGAAGCACCAGCCCCCGCCACAGCTCAGAAACTGCTTGGCCTGCTAGCAGCTCACCCTCCCTCCCACCGCCGAAGAGGCAGATAAGGATTGGGCCCAACCCTTGTGCACATGCCATGGGGCTTTACTTTGCCATAAATTGAAGCGGTGTTTTTAAAGACCCATCGCTTCAATTTAGGGAGAATGATACCGAATTAAACCCCCATGGCATGTACAAATGGCCTAGGAGAATTCACACACCTAATGTGATTCTATTCCACCCTGTCCAAATCCTGACAATCCATTAATGCATCTACCTTTATAACAAATTGTCATCTTACCCTTAAGACTGAGTCATAAAACACAGTGAGGAAGAATAGGACTCTCCCATTTTTTGCACTGACTGTTTTCCAGGGACTCAAGCAGGGTGGCATAGAATCACAATTTGGTGCCTAAGTCCATTTCATTTATGTAGCTAAAGGAGGGGCTAGCACTTGGTCTCAAGTACAAAATGTGGATCATTGGCTGCTGCCTGACCCTTGAGCCACCTGGACTTCAGATATCTAAGTTCACAGTAAAGTTCCTTCAATGTGCAAATATCTGTTATCTGATATGTCAGAAACAGAACAAAGCAGCTCAGTGCTGGTTTATGCTAAAACCCCAGCAGCATCCACAACTAGGTTTTCCTCACCAATTTCTACAGGGAGTGTTGCCCAAATGGCTAGTTTCGTGCCCCTGGAGGCTAGACCAATTTCACCTCAAGGAGAGAGTCACACCCAGGGTGAGTCCATCATGAGTTTATTGATTGCGCAAGCAATGTCAACAGAGGAGCTGATGCTCAAAGCAGTGTTGACCCCCCAGTTTCTCTCGGGGTTACACTTTTATAGCTTACATAAACAAAGGACTACAACGTGTCATACAACTATTGGCAATACCACAATTTCCTTGTTGTTACGTCTTATCTTATGGGCTAGGCTTAGTTTGCTATTGGTTAATATCTCCTGTTAAGTTTAGTGCATGCGTATTTCAAAAGCAGAACTGCGGCAAAAAGTTCTGTCGCATGCGCAGAGGAGAACTGCGGCAAAGTTCTGTCGCATGCTCAGAGGAAAAGGGGAACTGCGGCAAAGTTAGTGTCTTTTAGTAACCTTATACCTTAGTGTAACTTCAGGGCATTATGCAAGTATGGCTACAAAATGCAGAGCAAGCAGGAAGGAAAAAGAAACCCACAACTCAGACGTTAGGCCTTGTGCTTCCTACACAAGGGATCATGAGGGCCTCATGAGGGACTCATACAGCTATTACTCAAGTGAGGCCCAGGTCATAATGTATTTTTACCACAACTTCCCCCCTCAAGATGCTTTCTAACTCTATTTTTAATAATTGTCC